TGTGTAGGCTACCTGCTACATTCAGGCCCTACTAACTTTATTTTCTTTGTCTTTTGCATGTTTCTAAAGTAAGCAAATAAATCAACAACATAACGAAAAGGACACTCATCCATAAGCACGACATATTGTCTATATGTAGGTTGGGACATATCGAGACTGATCAATACATGACCTGGAACTGGTAGGATGGAATTAGGAGAATGTGAACATTGTGAAGAAACAGGAACATGGAGGGAATTAAATGTAGAAGAAGAGATATTGAAGGTTAGAGCTGCTATTGGAAGGAAAGGGAAGACTACAGGGGACGAGCAGCTTAGATATTAATACATAAAACCATGATACTACACACTCCAGTACAGCAGGTGGCGGCTTCCTTTACGTTGGTCTGTAGCCCGCCTGTGAAATTCAAGAGGAAGAAGAACAACCACACAGCTGTTGTCCAGTACTAGACAACGCACACACAAACAAAATGCAGCATGATCTCCAAAGACTAAAATAAAAAGGAAACAAAACTAATTTCACAAACGGCGTTAGGCCTAAGACCGACACACGCTACACGACAGAAACATTAAAAGTCATCTTGTGTCTAACCCTCACTAGATGGAGCCATGTGACCGATGTCTCTGACCGTCCACTGCAGTCTGGTCCCACAGGGGGTTTGCTTGTAATAATCAGGTCTATAAATGGAAAGATGAGTCTTTGAAGTTGAAATAATTGATATTTAACTAATGATGAATTTGATAAGAACTGTCAGGGAGCGGGGACTGAAGCCTTCCTCCTACACTGGTCTGTTGCTGTTCTCTGTGCAGATGTGAATCACCCAGCTCACCAGGAGTCCTCATCTGGGAACCATGAATACCTGGACAAGGGTTCAGAGCAATCCATCAAACAGCTGTCAGTGTTTAGTGTCCACCAAAGTCATAGATCTGTGCTAATGAGGGGTCGTCAGCATCCGTACCATGAATTTAAATGGGCTTCGATCCTCAGCGGGGCCAGTTTAAAGTCTGTGAAACAGCCTGAATCTCACTGACCAAATCTCCTGTGACTCAATTAGTGGGCACGGCGCTTTAGTCAGCTCCAGTTTCTACGTTTTCAGAAAACTTTTTAAACATGTTTCAGCTGGAGGTTTCAGGGGCCACGCAAACAAATGAGAAAGCCTGGGTGTGGGGGCTGGGGTGGAACATGGCAGCAAATAAAATAAGCCTCACTTGTTCCCTGGACTAGTTCTGGTTTGATTTGTCAGAGTTAATGTGTCGGTTGGTTTTCAGACTTGGTTGGAACACAAGTGGTATGTGTCCAAGTGGAAAGTCAGACACAGCCGTTGTTGTCCGGTGTTGTCCGGTGTGCAGCAGCAGTGACGTCACTACAGATCAAAGAAAGTCTGTCTTCAGCACGGAGATGTTTTAGCATTTAGTCTGTAGTGGCTCAATGTTTTCACACACTCCTCGGTGAACATTCATCACACACACAGGTTTCCATCCTCCTCCTGCTGCATCACACGCCGTTTCCAGGTCAGTGTCTGCACACACACAGACCCAGGAGGATCCCGGTGAGTCTTTGACTGAAGCACCAAACGTCTCCAGGCTTCAGGTTCTCCTTCCTCGTCCCCGTTTGTCTCACCCTGGGTGTTTTCACCAGTGCAAGAAGCTGCTGCCAGTGTGTTTCCTGTGTGAAAGTGGCCAGAGGGTGGGTAGTTTTAACATTCCAGTATGAACATTATTTTATTCTGGTTGTTTCCAGTAACTGTAGAAGTGCCCAGGCTCAGCTGTCAGGTCTGTGGCTTCCAGCTGTGACGTCCAAACACAAGGCTTCGCCAAAACGTGCGTTGAAGTCGAAGTGTTGTGATTCAGAGCTCACTACTGCCGCGTACCGTTACTGACATGTTGGGGTGAAAGAGGAAAGAAAAGCCCTGATTTGTATTTTAGGTCTATGACATATAATTTATACAGAGGCTCCTCTTCACCTTAGAGCCAGATATGAATTTGGTTTAGTAGTAGTTGTTGTTTCCTCTCAGGGGACGAACCAAACAAGTCAAACCCTCATTATTGAACAGTAAATGAACTAAAGTATGAAACAGGCCGTCAACACTCAGCACCTGCCAGTCCGGCCCCATATCATCATCATCACCATCATCAGTAACTGTCCTATAATTAGTGACTCATTTCCTTCCACTGCTCCACATTTATCATCTGGTGACAACAAAATGGCTTTGACAGAAACATCGTCCTTCCTCCTAATTTCACCTCTTTATCTATGATTGTTGTGCTTTTTCGACATTAGTAATTTCCTTCCGTCCTCCATGCCCCCCCCCCCCCCCCCCCCCGCCCTTCACCA